CTTTTTCGATGTTCTATCTCTGCTATAAATTTGAGCTCAATCGGACATGTACTCCGCATTTGGCAACAAGGTGAAAAAAGAGGGGGGGGGGAGGGGTACCCTTAATAGCTTCAAGTGTATTCATGTACCCCTATGTCAAGAAAATGAGAATTTTCCACCGAACATATTAGCAACTTTTGTTTACAGCCAAATATTTATCCAATACGTTTCTCAAACTGAGGGAAAAGAGTAAGAGGGGTACATATCGCTTGAGCTGTTCGGAATGCTTTTATTCTGTTATAGAAAAAATTCCATTTTTATGATAAGAAAAACAAAGCATCGAAACTCACCTTCAGCCCAACATTCATGACAAAAAGCTCGACGGGAAACCGTATGATCTCTCCTCGGAATCCATGCAAAAACGATCCAATGTTTTGGGTTATTTATCTAAATTCAGTTCCACGTATATCTAGATCCATATGGAGCTGAATCTAAATAAATAACCCAAAAAGTTGGATCGTTTTTACTTGGAGAATTCTTAAAAACGCCTTTCATATTATACGTGTAGATATATCTCATTTTTTTGCCATAAAACATCCTGATTTCTCTTTTGTAATTACATGCGATCGCGTAAAGATCGAACCTGTTAGTCTCTGTTCTATGGTGCTATATATGCGTATTATATGTTATCATAATAAAGTCTTTTAGCAATGTTTACAAGACAGTTATATGGTAAGAACATATATGCGTTAAAGTAGAACGATGCTTCTGTGCGACTCAATAACATTGACAGTGAAATAAAAAGTTCTTTGTCTCGCTAAGTGATTGCATATATCTTTTGTACATAGTTTTGAGTGTAGTTTATCTGTTAGGATCATAATGGATAGTATCCACTTTTCCCACTAAGTGTTTGCTGCACATGTGTGTTGTATATAGCAGTGTCTGGTAAACGAAAAAAATATACTGTTATGAATATATCGTAAACAGAAAAAAGTCAAAAAAACTGTACTTTAGTCCCACTCGTCTCCCTTCTCCGTTGATTTTTTTCGCTGTTGTCTATTTCCGCTTTGTTGCTGCTGTTTACTTTTAACTAAACTATGTATCAATGCTTCTTTAATGTATGTTTTTTGATCTGAATTTAACGCTGTTGGGTATTCAACATCAAATTCAATGATTAAATCGCCAAATTTATCTGGATTAGTCATCAATGGCATACCTTGTCCAGGTATTCGCTTCTTGTAACCAGGTCTAAATTTATTATTGAAGACGAAGTTTATTCCTTATAGCAATAAATATAAACTACAAATGTCACTTACCGGACAATTTCTGTGATAGGTATATCTAATTTTCTTCCATCTAAATGTTCAATATGAATAGTTTGTCCGGTTAATGCGTGCCCAAGACTAATTTTGGCGGTATGTATTAAATCAGAATTTTCTCTACGAAAATGTGGATGTGGTTTATCTTTGACAACAAAAACAAGATCAGATGGAATTGTATTCGGACCTTGATCGCCTTCTTGTTCAAATGTTACTTTTGAACCCGATAATAGACCACGTTTAACAGTGATAGATAAAATCTTTTCACGAATACTCGATGTTAAACCATCGTCATTCATAACCTAAATAACAAAAGCTATCAAAAATCTAAAGATGCATGAGAAGATTTCTGAATAGCATAGTTTATTTTCAGAAATAATAGTTTCAAATCTCTGGTCCTACCCTTCGACTAATTTTAATTTTTTTAATTGCTCCATGATAACAATCTTCTAATGATAATAGTAAATCTCGAACAATTGGTGGATCTTGCTTTTTTCTTCCACGACCATCTAGGCCACCAAAACCAAGGTTTCGATCTTGTTCAGCCGTTGCATAAAACTCTGCAAACGGATTATCACCACCAAAAAAATCGCGAAACACTTTTTCCGAATTTCCATGAAACATGTAACCATCACTCCATTCATTTTTTGGGCCAACGGGTACACCTTGTTTTAAACCTTCTTCACCAAATTGATCATAAATAGCCCGCTTTTGATCTTAAAGAGGAAATAGTTGGATGATTTGACAGATAGTTCCTCTGCGGTGTACTTACGATCACTTAATACCTCATAGGCTTCTGCTAATTCATTAAATTTAGTTTGTGAATTCAAATCGTTTGAGTTTTTAGCTGGATGGAATTTCAGTGCTAGACGTCGATATCTAAACGTGTAAAACATTGTATAGAAAGCAAAGTTAAGTACTTGGTAAAAGTACTATGCATACGCTGCTTTGATATCGCTATCTTTAGCACTTCTTGTCAATTGAAGGATGTGATAATAATCTTTTCCCATGATTATTTCTAAAATTATACGAAGTTGTAACGCATGCTCTTACATATTAATCACGTATCAACTATACAAACGGCACTGGTAACCGATTTCCGTTATCCTTTACAACTGTACAACTAGTGTCTGTGTACTGTATAATATATCACTATAGAAGGGATTTACGAAGACAATATTTTTAAGACAAAGATATTGACCAAAAAATCAATTTCTTCCAGCAGTACACCTAGGTCATTGGTAACGATGGCCATATACGGCGAATTAGGACTGTGTACTGTAACGTAACACGCCGTAAATGGCTGTAATCCTATGCTCCGTAACACTGTAGCCGTAAACAACCTTTTACGACACCGTTTATGGCCATACTACGCTCGTTTATGGCGGTAGTATCACAGAGCATAGGTTTACAGTGTCGTAAATCAATTTTACGACCGTTTTCGGGCGTCTTAGACCAATAGATGATGAAACAAATCACACAACAGTAGAATATAACGTAAGAGAAGAAGAGATACGGATGAACGCAAAAGTGGATATGACGCCCAAAACATTCAATTTTGCAGATCGAATTATCACATGATAGAGTTTTAGGTATGACCTAGCCCTTCGTTATCGCTACTGTCCTGCCGACTGTTATAGAACTTTTAGAATAAGTTTATAGGCCAAATAAATGCGAGAAAGCCTCTTCCAAAGAAGCATTAAAATTGTGTGAAGAAGTTCAATAATCTACTTTCTAACCTAATATTAATAAAAAATACACTTTTGCACTATTAGTTTTTGTTTCTAGAACTTTTATTAAGACGTTTGAACATCAATTGAGCAACGTAAAATTGTTTATCCTACGCTATGCTTCTTAATCTCGTACACAGAAAATAGTTGAGATTAGGAATTTCATGAAAATAAAAGAAAACAATTCTAGCGGTGAGAATTACCTATTGTCCAAATGAGCTAATCATTGTCAAATGAACAAATTTGAGTTACGAGCCTACTTTTCAGAAAAGAAAACGAAAACTGATAATGTGTGTTGGTTGTGACGAGCGCCATTAAGTATGTTCGTTGCTGCGAAACGACCTCAATCTTTACTGAGCATAAGTGTTTTCACGAACTGTTTTTTTCTAAAATTCCAACCACAGCAAAAGTATTGCTAAATTTAATTTTGTGAATTTTTTTCTCTCAATCCAACAGCATTGGAGTTCAACTCTATAAGTGTCAATTTTCTATCTGAGAGAACAGAACGGTTAATGGTTGACAACGGTTTTAAAGATAGTATCGAATCGAATGCAACGCGAGAAAATCCAGAAATTTGTGAATGAGAAGATACTTTTCTTCTGAGTATACAGAAATTCGTAGTAAAAAAGATTTATTTGATATGTACAATATCTCATCTTTCCCCAAATCGAGTTACTGATTGTTCTTTATTTTCTTGTTTTTGTTGATGTGTCACATTTGAATATTAATATTTCAGGTAAGAGTTTCATGACATTTTTTGAGCTGTTGTAAAAGAATGTTGAGCAAATTAGTACTTCAGATTTTTTTTATGAAAAGGGGTATGAGCGTAGCTCGTCTTTGTCTATTGTTCTTTACTATTAAGGATTTTAGAGTAGTTAACTATTTTGCCTCGATCAGTTTCCTTCTCTTCTGAGTTCAGAAATGAGTCTTGCGCCCATTACTCTCCGTTTTGCACGCTCTCACGACTAAAGATAGGAACTTGTCAATTGATGAGGTAAAAAGGAAATAATTTAACTATTGTTTATAATCATGAAAATCACAATAGATGGATTGATTTCTATCTTCTGAGAAAAGAAAGATTTTTCAGGTTTTTTGCTCGATAAATAAATTTGATTTTTTATTTATAGAATGGATTCTCGGCATGTTTGTGGTGCGGATAGCTGATTAGCTTTATGTTTTATGAATTAGTGTGTACTATTATATCTGAATGACAAGCCCTGATGGTAGTGACACCGATATTGGTGGTGCAAGCGAATTTATCAGAAGTAAGCGATCTTCCGTTTTCTTCTGGACATCCTCTATCTATGGTTGTTTTCGTTAGATCGTTTATATTTTGCCACATTAAGTATAAAACCAAAATCTACTACACATACACATTACTTTTCTATCGATGATGAATTTATTTATGAAAAGTAAGATTAAGAATCTATCGGTATAACTTCAAATGTTAAACGTACTATTTATTTTATATTTAGTTTTTACGCTGATTTTGGACCGTTGAATTTGGCAATGTTGTGTCGTTATTGTACAAAATTAAACAAAAAACTAAATGTAAATAAACACGAGAAATGAATATATATATCTATTCATTGTGTTGTTTTCGTTTAAGAGTTCTGCTTTATCACATAAACGAATTATTCATTACACAACATTTGATCCAAAGAAACGAGCAAACGCGGCATTTCTTATTTCAGCTTATGCAGTATGTAAAGATAAATGTGCTTGACTTTAAGATAAAATGTGTACACTTGAAGCGTAATGTTTTTTGATCTTATTGAGAAACAGTTTTCTTCTTAGATCACAATATCTTGAGAAAAAGAGATAAAATAGTCGTTTTTCTATTCTGTTAGCGATTAGTCTCCATAATACTATAAAAAGAAAGTTACAACCATCGTCATTTTTTAGCACATAATTTGTAAAGGATCTGAAATTAAATCGGGAAGATTAATCAAAAATTCGGCTGAATAAACGCTTGTGTATTCTTTTCGGTACTGTCTACTTTTCATTGTAATCGACTGTCATTCAGCTTTTTACTTTTGGAAAAATGGTAAATGAAAAACGATTATTTACCTTCAGACAAAGTAAATTTGACTTTTAATTATTTTATGGCAACATGCAAGCATTAAATCTTTGATTTGGTGTTCACAGTGTATGGACCAATAGAAATATCCCATTTTTTTAAAGAAATACAACGAACTGTAATTTACTTTTTCTCTTCTAGATTATCTATCTAAAACGAACACCAGAAGAAGCTTATAAACCTTTGGTCAGCGCTATCAATACCACACAGCCTTTTTTACCATTTAGGTAATGCCTTTTGTTTTGCTTATCTGTTCGTCTACATTCTTTTATTTATTATTGCAGAGATGCATCGTTGGGTCCGTCATCTTATAATCTTACATTACTTGATACTTTGCAGGGATTATACAAAGTAAATTATATAAAAAAGTTTGTATTCTCATACTAAATAATCATTTTCTATTTAAAAGGCTATGTTACACAAATTTTTCGATTTTGACCATTTTGATTTGGAAGAATATGAACATTATGAAGTAAATTATTTTGATAAAACGCTTATTTTATGATGATTCAACTGTTTTTTTTTTCATTTAGAAAGTTGAGAATGGTGACTTAAATTGGATTATTCCAAATAAATTATTAGCATTCTCTGGGCCGCATCCAAAAAGTAAAATAGAAAATGTAAGTCTATTGACTATATATACTATTTCATTAATTATTTTACTTTGTTTTCTTTCAAGGGATATCCGTTACATGCACCTGAAGCCTATTTTTCTTATTTTCGAAAACGTTCGACGACGACAATTGTTCGCTTGAACAAAAAAATTTATGATGCTAAACGTTTTCAGGATGCCGGCTTCGAACATTATGATTTATTTTTTACCGATGGTAGTACACCGAACGATACAATTACTCTAAAATTTTTACAAATTTGTGAACAAGCCCGAGGTGCTATTGCTGTACATTGTAAAGGTGAGTGAAAATTTCAATATTTATGACCTCCAAAACAAATTAGTTCTACGTTTTGCCAACTTTAGGATTTGTTGTATATCTATCATTTAAAGCCAATCTAAACTTTAGGATCTTTATTCTAAATACTGTTTGATTTTGTATCTTTTAGCCGGTTTGGGCAGAACGGGTACATTGATTGGATGTTATTTGATGAAACATTATAAATTTACAGCAGCAGAAGCGATAGCGTGGTTAAGGATATGTCGACCAGGAAGTGTTATTGGCCCACAACAAAATTATCTTGAAGAGTAAGTGCATTCAATGTGTAAACAGTGTAATTATATATATTCTTGTTATTTAGAAAACAGGGATGGCTTTGGTCGCAAGGTGATTCATTTCGTGTGAAAGATCGTATGCGTTATGTGTCATCATTTCAAGAAGGACAACAAAAATATTCAGTTGGAAATATTGTTGGAGGAGCTGAAAATACGGAAGTATGTTTATAAAAGAAATGAAATTTCTAATAATCATAGATTATCTAAAAAAAGGAAAATTCTTCGTACTTTGTAAATAAATGATTTTATTAAAAAGAATATGAAAATTTGTAAAAGTAAAGACTTAGCAACTTGTTACCTGAAAAATGGTTTGATTCAACTGTTTCTTTAATTGATTCTTATGTCATGTGTAGAATTTCTGAGTAAAAGCGTTACCAAAGACCTATTTTTCATTCTTTGTCTATTTCAGGAGGAAAATGAGGGCGAGATAACGCAAGGTGATCGATTAAATGAAATAAAAGCTCGTCGAATGCATCACCATCCGCCTACCTGGTCTGGAACAAATGCGACATCAAGTTCAACGTAAGTATTTTCTCTCCTCTGATTCTATGAGTTATAGAGCCATTGATTATATCTTCATCAGTCTATTCCTTCGGTATTATAATCCCTTCTATGATGATGATACGATATTAAAACAGTGTCTCGTGATATGTGCTATTGTTTTTTCTGTGTAAAATACGTTGTTCTATAAAATACGCGCGTTTAGATGTAAAATATGTTCAAAACCTTTTCAAACCGCAGCTGGTTTAACTAAACATATTCGATCACAGCATACAAATGTGAAACAGCATCTAAAAAATCAAACAACACCATTACAGAGCAGACGTGCGAAATCAACAACGGTAGCCTCATCGAAAATAATAGCTACTAGTTTGAGAGAAAAACAACCGCAACAACAACGAAAAACTAGCTCAAAAAACTCAACATCGACCATAATACCTTGTAAACATTGTGGAAAACTATTTTCATCAAAAAAAAGTCTTCATTCACATGTGACGCGTTCACATTTATTATTTCAATTGAATCAGAGTCCAGATGATGATACTGAACAAAGGTACTTTCAAAGAGCCCAACAAACAACAATTAGTAGCATGGCTCAATTTGTTTTTAGTTTGTTAGAGTATTTTTTAGTTGTTTGTAAGCAAAGGCAAACGGGACGTCTTTTCATTTTATGACGAAATATATCCCAAGTGTCGATAATAATGAAAGATTTTTGATATTTTGACTAGCCAACATTACCATTTACATCCTCATTGCCTTAATATTATATTTATGCAAAAAAAAAAACCTACAGTCTCATATGATTTAAACTTTTTAGTATCAGTAGAAAGTTATCTCGCAAATAATTCGATATATGTAGGATGTCATGATAATGTTGATTCAATCTTGTCATACCAGAACTACTTCATTATTATATACCTACGTTTGACCTAAATCTTGACCCGTAGGATATGTGAATAATTTACGTGATCAAGAAATCAGAACTTGAACTTGGTTTATTAATGACTTGTACCAAACGCAAAAGACATTTAAGATAATCTTTTTTTTTTTTGCTAGACATGTGCAACTTTTAAGTACGGGGCAAATTTTACTAATAGTAGTTTCTAACTGTAGCTAGTTAGTTCAAGTGATTCGAACAACGTATTTTCAAAGTACTTTTTGTGAATCACTATTCAATTATTTCGATACTTGTCTAAAAAACTATCGTTCTATGGATGAGTTGATACATTAGATAATTCATGATTTTAGTCATTTATTCTAATTTAATACAATTCGTTTATTATTTTTTGATTATGTTAATATTTGAGGGATATGTATTTCGTTTAGTAAAGTGCCTAAACGTTATCGTTTATCGTTATGTAATGATGAGCATATATTCATATCCGAACCGGTAGTTAATGATTTATTATCTACAAAATATCGTCCATCATTAATTATTAAACCAGTACAATCAGTTGTAGCAGATAATATTGTTTCTTCTACGATTAATAATCATAATTCATCTTCTCTAATTCATACGTATATACGTACAAAAACAGTTCCGTTACCGCAACAATGCTATACGTCACCGGTATTTGCTAATCTAAGATTGTCAAGGTGAACAGAAAAAAGAACGAGCTTTGATTTGACATGTACACAATCAAACACCTTGCTTTTTGAACGATATCATTAGTGCCGACGCTTTTTTTCAACATATTCAACTATTCCAACTGCTTCAGTTGTTGTTTTTTGTTCTTTAGTAAGAACACGACGAGTCAGTGTGCTTAAGATAATAGAAGATTTGAGTATTAATTATTTTATTTCGAGAGAAATCACTAGTCCAATGGATCGATATTTATCGTTCTTGATTGTTAAATAGTTTTCTAATTGATTATTGCATGATAACCGAGATTTAATAAATAATTCATGCTGCATGAAATTTAGCTTGCATGCTCATTTTCACATTTAAACTAAGACTCTTCAAACACAAATTTATTATTATTTTTTTAATTTTAATTAGATTTGATATGTCCACATCGTTAAAACGTGCCAATACAAATGTAAGTTCAACTCAAGCACAACGCACAAGTGGCGATCAACAAAATATTTCTCCCACTGCATCTTATAAACAACCACCACGTTATCAGTCAGCCAGTACAATATCAACAAGCGTTGTATCACATTCCTTAAATCAATCAACAGTTGGTAATACGAGAAAGCCCAGATCCTACATTGCACCAAATTCACCTCTTACGAAAAGGTATAACGTCGTATTTATGCTCTAATGGATAGTTTATCGAAGATAACCCTTTTATTACTTTTATCACAGTGATCATTCTCTTAAGATTTGTTTGAATTGCACAATAAGATCTATGAGTTTATGATGTTGTGTTTTTAGTTCAATATATCCAATCAATCGTTATGTAAGTGTCGGTAGTACAACATTAAAAACATCAGATAGTGATAATCGTGATCCAATGCCATCGTCTATTTTGAAAGCATCACCACAACTATCACAAACACGCATAAAACCCCCGCCTCTTCCAACACACTCATATTATACGAGATCGAAATCGGTATGTATTTCTATTTTGTTCGTCGAAGCAAATTGGTTCCACTATGTAAGATGTAGAAAGGAGAAAAAGAAAATGAGATTTCACTCTAAGAACAGCACAAGGATACGTCAACATTTTTGTTTTTAATTATAATGGTCGAATATGTATACTATTTTATTTCTAACAATATTATCTCATTTCTCATTTTAGTCCTATTCAAAGTATTGAAAATTTATATGACATCTAACAACGTGCACGTTTGAACCCATCTACTCCTTCCCAAAGCCAATGCAATTTTCATCTTTATTTCTTGATTCTTTTTAGCTTTCTTTTTCTCATTTTTATTTTTTTTGTCTTCTACTTTTTTTTTTCTCCAAAGGATAAAAATAGAACGTCTATTTGTTGCAAGTTTGTTGTTGCTCTCTTTTTCCAATGTAGGAAATAAGATTTGTATAATATATATTTAGCTTAAATTTTTTTAAGCGTCAAGCACCACCAAAGAAGAACAAGTATTCTGTTATAAAAACTCATATTTTCTCTTTATTGTAAAATCTTTCATTCGATGTTATTTTTATGTCGAATTGCGTTCTTCTTATTGCGGATATATGAGAATTATGTTTTGTTTGTTTTGATAATGTTATTTTTAATTAAGAACGTAAACGACAAAAATAACTATTTTTTCATATAATCTCTGCTTGACTTTTGTTTGTAGATATTTTATTTTTTTGAGCAGAATAAGTTTAAAATTTTTCCGTCCTATACACATGACCCACTATTTTGGCTGATATGACGTTAAAAGTCAGAATACTTTTTTCCAAGTTTTTAACTGTATTCTTTTTTTTTGAATAAGTGAATAACGGACAAATAGATATAGTGTGTTACTGTCATTAGGAAAGCAGATAGTACTATATAAGAAATTTTGTTGTGCTGAACTATTAGTTTATTGTACAATTGCATCTAATCGGATCCTGTTGTTATAATGTATTGTAGACCGTTGTTCGCTCAAATTTTAGTGACTATTGGCTCTACGTATAATCACAGAACATCTGAATAATTTCATAATTATTTCTCATGAGTTTTCTTTCTTATTCAGTCTATTTAAAAACGAATTGTCGGTGAAAAGTTGTGTGTGATGACTATATCACAAACTGTTACATCTTTTAGTTGAAAATTCAGGAAGTAAAAAGATGCACATTTTTTTAGAAAATACTATGCGCATGGCGCGTTTCACTTTATTTATGAGATATTTTTGACTAGACTTTTAAAAAAATAACTTTTCTACTCATATCTAATAGAGAGTGGTCACAATATGATGAAATGTATAATGCTAATCTTCTTTAGATATAAAAGTGACTAATTTCAGAAACTGATAGAGGGTCTATAAAGTTTAAAAAGGTATCTGTTAAAGAGTGGACAGTTTTCATAGATAGATTTTAGAAACTTTCGTCATTCCTCTCATTAATGTTTAAAGAATAATAAAAGTTGAAAATTAGTGATCGGATGTGATATTTCAAAAGATGAGGGTAATCAAGCTTAGATCATTTGAACATGTTTCATGAACTAAAATACTTTTGTCCGCATTATAATAGCACAGAAGAATCACTTTTCTGTATTAGAAAGGTGACTGATTTTACAAAATGACCCATTTTTTTTTTTTTGGAGGTGTAAGGCGGGATTTTTTGCCGCATAAAATTAAACGACACGAATAAATAAGTTTTGTACATTTTTTTCTAACCTAATCTCTACTATTTATTTACGACAAAAAAGAACCATTTTACTTCTTTGTAAAGTCTCCGTTTACGTTTTTGCGGTGTATATTCATTAATTAGAATTTCTGCTAATTTTTGGAATCTCGTGCTCTTTTCCTCTTTTCTCGCTAAGCAAAACACAGTAATTATCCTTTTCTAAACGATTTGCGAGGATAGAAAACGAGGAATTCTGAGAAAAATAAATGAACGAATTTTGTTTTTTTTTTGTTGAAATTGTGAATCGTTATTTTTTTTTTATCTGTAATTTCTTTCATTTTATTTGATCTGTTTTTCCACATGTTTATAAATGGTACAGTCACACTTTTTATAAATTAATCGATTACATTTTTTTCCGCTTGACATGAAAAAAAATTAAGAATCATTTGTTCATAAATAAATTAGTTCATAAAAAGAAAGAAAATGATTTAAGAATAATGACTATAAAAAAATAAAACTTATGACATAATAATCAATTTCTATAGTAGCAAGCTAATATTACGGCTTTTTTATAGTCAAAATCAGATCATAACTTCGTGCGTATGCAGTTAATGAAACGAATAGCTGAGAAGTGATAAAATTTAACTGACATGAGTGATGAATAGAAGATGTTATAGACCTGTGCTAATGTGTTATAGTTGTGTGGACACGTTTAGCTTTGTGTTAATCTATCCTGTTAACTGTTTGATTTATGAAAATGAGTATCTGTATATATTAATGCAAATAGTCAAAAATGGACGATGAGATGTCTCGAAAATATAAAAAAGATATTAGGAATGATCTGTATTCTACTACATTATTAATTAAATCTCGTTTGGTATTGATGGAATTGACAAATGCCTAATGACAACATTCTGTAAAACGATTCCTGTTCACTCTACGTTAGTAGAGTCGAGACTTTGAAAGAAGACTTTTCTGACTTTCAAAATTGACCAAATTCTTTATTGTTTTTAGCTAATTGATCTTCTGAGTGGACCTGTGTGCCGATCGGAAAATCGGTGGCGACTAAAAGAATTTTTAAATTTCAGTTGAATTAAGGCTAATGAGAATTCTCATCTTATATAGATAAGGGTATCAATTTTTTTGATCATCAAATTTATTCATTGCGAAATGATCACCAAAAAATAAGACTTTTGATCACGAAATTAATTAACGAAAATTTAAATTAAACAAAATATATACAAGAAGAATATATAGCAATTTAATAGCAAATTAATTAGTGGACAGTATATACAAGAAGAATATATATAGAAAAAAACTAATCACCAAACCAATTAAAGAAAAAATATACAAGAAACAACTAACTTTATGGCAACAAGG